AGTTCATTTAATCACTTACGTTATTTTAACAGTCACGTGAACTTCCATAAGAGCCGAGTCTTTAATAATATCTCGTCGATGCTACAAGATAACGCTTCGTCAACGCATCGCAATGGTGTATAATGCATTTTACCTCTTCGAATTTCATTGTTATTACGCGTATTAGAAAAACTCGGTCCACTTGATATAAACAGATTGTCGAGAAAAAGCGGCTCGAGATCGCTCACAAGATGATCCATTTTTAACACGATTTTTGAACTGTGACTGACTCGAGTAACTATTATGCTTTGTTTTATGAAAGATGCTCCTCAGTCCACTACTTTTTGGGCGCAAAGTCCATGAAAGCTTCACTAGCTTCACACCATGCTTCACGCGGAGCAAAGATCAAGACCTGCATTCGTCTGTATACTGTACACACTCACACATAGCTATCGTCCATAGTACCGACGAGATTTTATTTTAGATGGCCTGATCGCTGGTCATACTAGGTCAAACTTTCACGACTTTATTGTATATCAATAGGAAATAGAGGGTTTAAAAGGTCTGGAATAATTGAAGAATGATAACACTATCAATAATTAATAAAAATTGCGAATATTAACTTAAATATTTGGATAATACATTATTAAATTTTTGTTTCTTTTTTATTATGTAAAATGTTGCATAAATAAGTACTCATAATTTTAATGCTATATCTTGTATATTACCGAAAAATTATAATTTTTTCTCTACAGTTATTTTCTTTATTGAATAAATATTTAGTTTAGTCACGTTTTCAAAAAAATTGATGAATTTGTGTTTAATCGACAAGTTTTTATTGCTTGAAAGAATCTGGTAGAAAAGTATCTTTGACTATATAACCATGGACTGCTAGTTGACTTTTTACGCTGTGATGAACATCACGCGTGCCCCCGGGGGCTAAATGGCAAAAATCCGAAACACAAAGTTACATTTCGATTTCAATCGAGGAAAGGAAAGAAATTAATATTTTATTACAATGTGGTTAAATATTGTTGCGTACACGGGTGCAATTCGTCAACTTATAAAAAAGGAAAAAAAGAAAATAAGAATCAGTTACAATTTTTTAGGTAAGTTATTGACTTTATTTGTATTTGAAAGGAAAATTGTTAAACCTTATGTGAGATATTAAATTGTTCCTCATATGTCAATGTTAGACTGTAAAATCAATGTTAATCTATTAATGTGACTGCATGGTATTGAATATAGAATTCCATTGAACTCTGTGCTTAAAAAACAATGGATAGAGGAACTTCCTGCTGCTGGTCATAGCGAAGACAAAAATATAAAAATATAGTAAAATACGTAGCCTGCACTTTACAACAGATTGCATATTCCATCTTTTCTTTTCTCTCTTCTTTGTCATATTCCATCTCTTTCTTTTTTTCTGTTTTACCATCGAAATGTAACTTCGTGTTTCGGATTTTTACCATTTAGCCCCCGGGGGGCACGCGTGATGTTCATTACACGGTTCTTTTTGTCTATCTTACGGAAAAGATACAAAGAGTGGGGGTAACTAGCGGTCCATGGTAATAGGGTGCGTTCCGAGTTACGCATGAAGCGCGTAGACTGCATAGAAAGTCGTTCCGAATTAACTATTGCGCGCTTCGAAAGCGCTTCGAGAGTACTTGAATTCCCCAGATTGTACTAACCGTACTGAATTCTTAGCACTTCACTCAGCGCATTGACTGCTTCTCTTTCGACCTGAGGCAGTTGATGCGTCTGATGCGTTCATGCGGTCTATGCGCATGATTTGTAATTCGGAACGAGCAACGAGTACCGGACAATACAACAATAAACGGACGAATATTTGCGATTTGCGATGGAACAGCGATTACAGCAATTGCATGATTTCCCGGTCTTATTAGAGGATAAAAATGAAGTATTAACTTTATTTTTAAATGAAGAGGATATGGCGAAAGTAAGCCAAGATAAAATTAATGGCATTATTCAACAAAAATTAAAAGGGCGAAGTAAGAGTCAGAAGTAAATTACATTTAAAATAATATTAAAATGTTAACATATTTACAATAGAAATATTACAAAAATTGCTTAACAATTGTTACGCGCAGCATGTTTTTAATTTTAAGTAACGGGCATAATGTTTTTAATTTTAAGCAATTTTTTGTAAAAAAAATAAGAAAACAGAGAATAAGAATTTCAACCTATCAGAAATCATGTACTGTGGAATAAACACTGTTTATTCCATAGTACATGATTTCTGATAGGTTGAAATTCTTATTCTCTGTTCTCTGTTTCCTGTTCCTTTTATTCTGCGCAGCCCTAAGAATTTCAACCTAGCAGAAATCATGTACTATGGAATACACACTGTTTATTCTATAATAAATATTTTTAATCTATTGTATTTAATTTAATTCATTTGAATCAAAATTCTTTGATCGCATATGGATAGAAAGGAATGTAGTAAAATTGAATAAATTTATATCCATATGGATAGAAAATCTTTGTGTATTGTTGAAATAAAAAATGTATAACTTTGTACCTGTATCACAAATGAAAATAGATTCATGATCCGCGAAATTTTTTCTATTGAAAAGAATAAGATCACCTATTATAGGGCCATCCCTGAATTCGAAATTCATTTGATCTCGAAACTGTTTTGGACTAAAAGAATAACATTTATGTCATTTTAATACAATGTCAGGAATTAAAACGGATTATGTGGTTTACTTTTTTAGCGAAACATTTTCGATTGAAAAGAATAAGATTTATTTTCTTTCAATATTATGGACAAAAATAGATTTTTTTAAAGCTCTCAAACCTATAAAATTATTGTAAATAGCCATTAACATTCACATACCATATGGTATAGCGTTACATTAATTTTACAGAAATTTTGTTAACATGCTAATTATCAATTTTTCAACAACAATATTATATATTTGGCTATTTACAATAATTTTATCCATGTAGAAGACAAATTGAAGTCTGAAGAGGAATCAATCTAAGAGTCGAAATTTGTTATGTAACGTGTTTATCATGTTTTTAGTTTTAAGTAATTTTTGTAATTATATTCTATTGTTTTTCAAATTTAGAATTAAATATGTTGACATTTTAATATTATTTTAAATGTAATTTTACTTTTGACTCTTACTTCGCCCTTTTAATTTATATTGATTATTAATAAAAATTACGTCATTTCAATCCTATATCATGGATTAAAATGAATTGCATGGCTTATTTTTTCTGCAAAATTTTTTTTGGTTAAAAGAATACAAATTCTGTAGATTCAATCCACGTCATAAATTAAAATAAATAGCGTGTTATTCCATTGAACTATACTACTGGAAAGCGCTCTGAGGCCATATCCGCCTTAGAGATCCTATAATAAGAGTTAGGCCAAAGCGGACCAAAGATGGCGGATAGAAGGAGATAACAGATATTGCTTTCTTTCTCGTATTACGCTATCTGTCTCTTTCTATTCTTCGAACTCGTTTTTCGACAATGTACAAAGCTATCCGAAGAATACCGAATGGACCAAGGTAGAGAATCAATCAGAAGTTGGGCCCGCTTTGGCCTAACTCTTATTATAGGATCTCTACAGTAGTATAGTTTAGTGGTCATATATCTTTTGCGTAAAACTTTTTTTTGATTGAAAGGAATAGGATTCTCGTCCCAAATAACAATATGTTATCCAAAAGGTTTCTAAAAGATATCTTATTTCTGAATCTGATAACTTAGAGAAACTTCTTAAAGATCACATAAAGATAACTGAATGTTATTTAATGCGTCGTTTTTTGAGAACAGAAAGATGTCACAAAAATGATATTTAAAAGATTTCTTAAATTGGACATCTTTATGATTAACATATATATTCATATTTATGATGTCTTAAAGAAATCTGTTATATGTTAATATATAAATTTCTTTAAAAAGAGAGTTTACAGGTTATATTTACAGGTTTGAATTAATTAATCTTGCCGTTCACTTCATCAGGGCGAGGAATGCACTGATACGTATCTATTAGCGATTTCGGCTGGGAAAATAAGTGTGCACTGGTGCATATTAAAACCATTGTACACTGTTAATCTACCACCGCGGCAGTACACGGATATAACATATGCACGAACATGTACATTGTACACGGACTTAACATGCACCAGTGTACACTAGTGCATCCCACCCGAAATTGCTACAAGTATCACTGCACTCCTCGCCCTGATGAAGTGAATGGCAAGATTATGAATTCACAGAACGTTGGCGCGATAATCTACAAACCTTCTGGCATCTCTGAAACAGAATCTTTCCTAATAAGTAACATCAAATGAATTTCTCATAAAAGATATCATAATTATGTCTCGTTTCTGAACTGTCAAAAATCATACAACATATTGATATCTTTTATGAGAAAACAAACTAATATCATTTAGCATGACATCATAAAGATAACAATTTCAAGACATCTCTCAAATCGGATATCTTAAAGAGTTCTCTTGGTAGATTCTCTAATAAATGATTATTATGAGATATCGTTTAGACATTATTTTAAAGATAACTAAATGTTCTCTTGAAAAAGTTCTCTTAAAGTTTTCATTCTGACAAGCATGCTGTCTAGGGTAGTTTCAATTCCAAGTCATGGATTAAAATAGATTCAAACATTGAATGGATCGAAATGGATTAAAAAATCAAGAATATGGATTCAGCAATGATCAAATGAATCTGTTTCAATTTCTTTCCGGATACTGGATAGTTTTCACTACTATTTTTTGAAGATAGATTCGCAGCGCTGACATTTATTATACCTTATTTTAAAGCTTAAAGACGCTTCAAAACGACTATAGCGAGGGAAAGATTCAAATTTGAATAAGTAGTCGATTTAATGTAGGGGCCGAGAATTAATGTTATAGACCATAAAAGAACTAAAATTATCAGTAATATATACATACATATATAGTTTTGATGCCAGTTCAATAATTTTAATCGATACTAATTGGTATAATTGTACTTTCTTGAGAATATGGTAAACTGTCATAAAAGATGTTGAATGTATTGCTGTCTCGATTTGTTCAGCTGTGTTGAATATCAATAAACATTGTACTATAGTATACTCTCAGACTTCGTATATAAAGACGAATCCCTTTATATGGTTCAATGAGTAGGTTCTAAAGATGTTGATATTCTTGCCGAACGAATGAAAAATCCTCGAGTACCATCGGGTCCTGACGGCATTCTTGTCACATTCTCAGGCACATGTGTCATCGCGACGCTGTTGTTACTTCTTGATCTAAAGAATACATTCTGTTCTGAATTTGAGGAACATAAGGATGTTCTTCTAATATTCATATCAAAATCGCGACTATATGTTGAAAGCTTTCTTGATAATGGTCCACAATCGGCCGATCCACGACGATTTGCGATATAACAGATTCCTCGGCATTCCATCGGAAGACCTGTGATACATGATAAATTTATGAATTGACTGCATCGTTTTGAACAAAAGTGTATATTGTGATATTTTGCATAATATTATATACGTAGATAAGTTTATACTGTGGAATGTATGACAGATAATTTCATCATGACAATATCGTAATATGTATGTGAGATACATGTATTATTACTAACCAGTGGAAGGACAGCAAGAGTGACGATGATTTTCATGATGATGAAAACTTTTTGAATAACTTGGATAAAAGAAAGCTGTTTCGGAACCAGATGAACAAGTGGAATAACGTCTACCAGAGTCTGAGCTGGAACCGGAACAGGAAGATAGACGTCGAAACATTCTCGGAAAACCATTCTCGGAACTGGATATGGAGCAGGAAGAGAGCTTTCGAGATAAGCACGTATCTGATGATGGTAATCCTGCTATAATAAGATAAATGTTCTGTACGATTTGTTGTAGCATTGATTGAAAAATTTAATAACATATACATATTTTACAATTTTTGATAAATTTAAATCCACTTGTATAACATCGAGACAGAAAAATGTACTGTAAAAATTATAATTCTTAAAATAAATCTTACGTATAGTACGTTCGAAGAAACGTTACTGACCTATAGTTTACATCATGCACTTGATATGGATTATATCTACTAATTGTATAATCCATAAATGGCGATATGTACGATATATACGATTTAAACATATATAGAAGTATTTAATTAACCGTTTTGATGCATGTGTACCTATTCAATACATCATTTTTTAAATATATTATAGAGGGCCGATTGTTCCATTTTTCGGTAAAGTTTACCAGTTAGGTAAATCTAACAATCCGCGCATGTGATTAGGTAATCTTGCTACTTACCTAACAGGTAAACTTTACCAAAAGATAGAACAATCGGCCCTAATTTAATACGCAAGAAGGTTACTAGTTAGTACCTGTATCAAGTGAACAATATATATATATATATATTGTTTACATATGTAAACTAGACCATTGCTCTATTTCTATCATTTTATCTTCGTTGTTTATTATATGTAAAACAAGGATAGAATGACATAAATAGCGCTAATAGTATCTTTCCAAACTGTAATCAATCACAGTTTTCTTTTCTTTAACAAAAAAATCTATCTAGACACCTACTGTTTTTAAGTTTCTTTCACAACGTACAAACCTATATACACACACGGTATAAGTTGCATTCCACTCAACACTCGCAATGCTCATAAGCATCGTTTTTCTTTGTTTAATATTTATGATAAACAATAAAGACAAAATAATTCCACGACAGTTGTGAGCATTAAATGGAACACAGTCATAGAAAAAGAGAATGAAAACGGAGGAAATAATTTCATTTTACTATTATATGATTTCAAATTGCAAAATTTTTATTTAAAATTTAATCTCAGAGAAATCCAATATCAAATCAGTTAGAAATGATAAAAAAATTTAATGAAGAGAAGGATTGACTCAAAGTCAATGAAATTAAAATCAACGGTCAGTGATTTTCTATATGTATAATATATAAATGATATGTTTTTTTTTCTTACGACATGATACCTTGGAAAGGATAATTCGTATTATGGACGTGATACATCGGATATCCTTGAAAACCTCTCTTAAGCCTTACTCTTCCATCCTCTGGCTCAGATCCACTGGGACAACTCGATGAATTGTGATTATCTTCTCTTGCTGTTCTACTTAGGATACATTTTTTCGTAGGCTGATGTTTCTTCTTCTTGTCAATTGAGTGACGTAACTCAAATACTTGTACGTCCCCCAAGGACATTTGTATGGCGATTCGCGCAGAAGCTGAGTCCGTGAATTCGACCATAGCGTATTCCTCGATAGAGGCCCATTCTGGCTTTCTAGCGATTGCCTGTCGCACCTAAGTAACGATTGCCAACATTTTATTTCCTGTTTTAACATTGATGGATTATATATCTGTCATCAAATATTAAGAGAATTACGTAAAATAAGGTTTGTGTATATAATTATCTGCGACTAATTGTCTGTACATAGAAAAAAGTGACTTCCTGATTCCTGTATATTCTTGCTATTTGATTTCTTTAAATATAAAAAGCTATCTCTTTAATTAAAAATATTCACTTGCATCAATAACAAATAAATTTGTATGAAGTACATTTTATTCTTAAAATCGTCTTTTCTTATTTCTGAAATCATTATATTGTTCTAACAAGCTCAATCACATTATTTGAGAGCTATTCACTCTTTGATTAAAAATTACATTTTTGAAAGTGCGCTTGATTCGTGCAAACTTATATTCAGAGCTCATTTGTTGCGCGCTCGCGGACAACAACGTTATGAGAGCCATGGTGAAAATAATAAGGTGAGTCGTTCCCGAGGATGCGCAGAGCTGCGTTTAGAATCATTATCTGAGTGCACCCAAGTGTCTTGTTATCCTTGTTTATCATTGTGAACAACAAAAGGATAAAACAACATCTGAGTGCATCCGGACGATTCTGAACGCACCCTAGTAGTTTTTGAACATGGCCGGAGACACTACCGCGTCTCCTGATATTATCGTATTTGAATTAAAATAATTTTTTTTTATTAAGTTGACAAAAGGCGTCATTGAAAAAAAATTAATGTTAATACAAGCATATTTAATCTTGAATGAATACCACTTTATTCTTTAATTAAAGTAAAATTTATTTTCAACTAAGAATATTTTTCACTTTGTTTGAAGAATAATTTATTCTCAATCGGAGATTGTTTATTTTTGGTGCTATTCTAAGAATAAAATATTCTTAAATTGAAGCATAGATATGTGCATTGCTTTAAGAATTTATTTTTTTTGCGTGTGGTAATATAATTAAGAAAGACGCAGTTTCCTAAAAACGTAAAAAAAATTGAATATATATGTATATGCAAAATAACTTGATTAGAACAGCTGACGTAATGAGTGATCCACCTGAATAATCTCTTATTGCAGCGGAAACCTTACGTATGTTAGCTCTTACGGATCAACTATAGCTTGTTAACGGGAGAGATATCATATATCGGTAAGTTAATTATAACATGTGCGAACATTATGTCACAGTATTAATCCGCATGCCGTGATTATGTCACGGTAAAGTGCAATTATGGAAAATTTTATGGACAAGGAATGGAAATGGAAAATTTGATAGGTCGAAATGTGATAAACAAGTATTACCCAAGTTACCGTTAACTATTATCATTAAACTGAGGCAAAGTTCCGGTTTGTTGGATTATTGACAGTAATTGAAGAAATTGCAATTTACTAGGAATTACATGAATTACATTAATTTACGTATCAATAATTAGTAGTCTTCTTATTTATGTTGCTGTATGCTTGTTTTTATCTTATATGTTCTCTATAAACTGATTAAAAGTATAATATAACAATAAAAAAGAGGATGTAATGCTAACGATTTAATATATTTCAAAATTATGCATCCTATATCTTTATGTTATATATAAAATATTATTATACACTACTAAACAAAATTAAAAGATCACTTGTTCCACCTTGCAAAAATATGCAAATTTCGAGATAAAATAACAATATCAAAAATTCGAGATTTTTAAGAAAGCATTTTAAAGCTTGAAATCTCTACTTTCCTATACTTTAAAAAACCGTATTACTAATATTTTATAAAGTTACACAAACATAAATGAAGATGCATTAGATCTTAAAATTTTTTACGAAATTTGCGAAGTTCACCACGCGAATTAAAAATTGTGCACAAATGCGGTTTACAGCTTTCGAAAGAGTGAATCTTTACCTTTAATTTGCTTTATCGACCTGTGTACGATTTTTTTCATCGAGTTATTTAACGTTGAAGTAAAAATGACCCTTTTTGCTTCAATGTTGAATAACTCGGTGAAAAAAAATCGTACAGAGGTCGATAAAGCAAATTAAATCAAAATATTAGACCCACGAGAATAAATCAATTAATAGAAGTAATCCTGTTTTCAATCAAAACGGATATTACTTAATAATAATACTAACGAGGGAATCTCCGAAGTGTCAAATTCTGATTTTAATTAAATTTTGCGTACGTATAGATTACGTAAATAAATAAATAAATTTAGAAAATATCAATTGCGGTCCAAAAATGGTTCTAAGAATTAACATAATAATGAAATCACCTTTATGTGTAAAACGGTTTCCAACTTTTTTCGTTATATTATTATATATCTCAAGAACTATTCAATATATGAATGCTTTGTATATACGTATAAAAGTTTTACAATAAAACTAATAAAGAGAAACAGGGCTACGAGACAATAAAAATTCATTAAAATCTTTAATTTATTCTAATATATTGCGAAGAATATTACGTAATTTTGGCGTTTTATCCTGGCTCCACTACTGGACTTATCAGTAAGATATTGTAGTGGAAGCCTACCTTAGACGCCTGGGAGTTATTCAGTCGAGATTCTATATGAGGAGATATACGCGTGTAACAGCACTTACGAGAATTTGCAAATATCAGTAGACCTCTGATGGTAGGTCGACGTAGTATTATATATTATATAGTATATTTTTCGCAATATTTATCAAAGTAAGAATAACATCTCATTTAGGTTGACGTGTGTATTAAATTAATAATTAACCCATATATACGTAGTCCCCCCAAATTGCGCGCCGAACAATCGTTGGTCTTGAAACACAAATCTAATAGTCTAATTTTTACAATATAAAATTATCTGTATTCATCGCCACATTACTAAAATAATTTAAAAAAAATTTTTTAATTTTTAAATCTAATTATTGTTTAAAAATATTATTGATGTAGATAAATAATTTTATTGCAAAACTTTTGTACAAAATACATCTCTTAATATCTTGAATAAAAGTTGAAAATCGTTTTATACATATAAGAAATGATTTATCACTTCTCAAAACCGCGTTTTTAGATTGATTCGAAATTCATGTAATCTACGTAATCTATATATTTTACAAAGTTTTATTAAAATTAAAACTTTTTACACTTTGCAAGATTCTCTTGTAAATGTAAATTTTGTTGCAAATATTATTTCAGTTTTATAAATTACACGCCGGTGTATAATGAACTTGAAACGTAATCGCAGACTAATTAAATTATAGTAGATTGATCGTCTATTTTAACAAATATGTAACTAATAGGCATCTTAAAAACTTATAGTTTATTGTGAAAGATGTTACTTCAATCAGGGTTTGATCCTAGAACTTCCGTTTTTCGGGGGCGTTAAACATTTCAAATCCGACGAATCTTATTAGTGCTTAATTTATAATACAAAACTAAAATAATACTATATATCGTGATCCAGCCATAATAAGCATTATAAAATCCATTTTGACCAAAAATATAATTATTTCTATTGATTTAAATCTAATGTAATCGCATTTAAATCTATATATTAAAAAATGCGTCTAAAACCTAAATAGAAAAACTGAATCGGGCAAATATCGCGTTGTAGAGCATATTCGAAAGAGTAACGTTTTGCTATCGCTATTCGCATTTACGAGTGTGTGGATGTACGTCTTGTTAAAGAGAAAAGGTGTTTTACCTCGGGAGGTACTGGACGTCCAGGTTTAAGCACTCTTATTAAGGCTATCTCACCGCAAGGCTTAAAAATCTCAGCGACAGATTCGATTGTTAATTTTTCTATCGGTAATCCAGTCGCTAAAATGGTCCTGGAAGGAGCTGTCTGATCAAAATATGGTAAAGGATTCACTCTACGCAGCTTAGTCCCTTGTGAATTAAGCTCGAGTCTTTTAGATCTCGTTAAAGCCGCTCCGACTACTCTCCAATCCCTGCTGAGATGTTTAACTTTTTTGAAACTGGATATCAATTTAAGAGATACATAGCCTTCTTTGTTTCTTTTCACGTGTTTCAATAAGAATGCATCCTTTATTATATTATCATCAGAAAAGTAGTATTCCACTTGAGCGCATATCTTGTCGGCTAATTCATCATTCGGTGTCACGAAATCGTTGGTCGTTCTGTTGAACGTTAATTCAGTTGATTCTATTGAAGATTCCGACGGAATAACATTCACTTGTCTTTGCTCTGTCAATTCTTTCGATGTAACATCATCTACAGAATCCGCACCTGAATCTTGATCAGTATCACTCTTCTTTGCAAGCCTGATCTCGCTATCATAATCTGACAAATCGGCCTCGTCGCTCTTGGATCCTCTTCGATCGAAAGAAAGGCTTACGTCGCTATCTACAGAGGAAATACTATCTTTTGTTTCAGATTTTTTCATACGCGGAGGCGAAGGCAATAGATTGTTGATCTGCTCCTTTAAATCTTGAGATACTTGAAACTCCATATTTTTATCAAAGTAGAGCGACTGTCTTTCAGAGTTGTAAGAAGGCAACTAAATATATAGTTGGTAACTTTGATGCTTTGGTATAATTATATTTTTCCTTCAAATTTTAACTATTTTCTTGTGTATTTTTACACAAAAAATCATATTGTATATATATATATATATATATGTATGGGTGAGTGTGTGTATTATACATATTATATATATATCATTACTAAGTCGTTTTCTTCTTTCTAATACACTAACGTTTTATCAATTAAAAAAGAGGTTACAGAATATAAAGATAGAAATTGAATGAGAGCGTACTTGTCGCTCACTGACCTTCCACTCTGTGCGCGATCCGTTTTATAGCTGCGGCCAAGTTCGATGCGTGGCAAAGCTGCAATGGCCTTCTTGAATACCGGTCAAGAATGAAACATTCGGCGAATGACCGAAGGGCATTCGAATTGAACCTTGAGCGAAGGAAAGGGAGTTTATATCACAAGTACTTCAATATAACAAAGAATTTTTTTAATTATTTTACATCCACGCACGCACAAAAAAATTAATGAAATGAAGAACAATGAATAGTGATCATAATTAATTTTAATAATTAATTCGGACAATCATCAATATACATATATAAATTTTAAAATTTATTAATAATTTTAAATGATATCGATACCTTTAGATCTCATTACTTATTGTTATTATAGATACGAACTGTTTTACGTTATCATATCCGTATGTGTGAATTGTGTGGAATGTAAATATTGCGAATAATTGTATGCATGCACGCACACAATCGTTGGTCACAGGCAGGAAGAACTTAAGACGGCAAATTTAACTAGACTTAACCTCGATAAGGCCCTGCGGGTATATTCGCAAACGACGCGCATTGCATCTGTACGCCAATAGCATAATAATATATAGGTCAAGTTCGGTTAGCCACATATGGTATATGGCCATGAAGGACGAAGTTATATAGCTCTGTGAATCGTCGAAAAACGAAAGGATTGGGTCCCTCTCCCAGACCCCCTAAAGCCTTTAAGGCTTCATATCCCCCAAATCCCACATTTCCATCAATGTTCTACGGGCCAGTCAGGCCCCCCTCTTCCGCTTCTACAATTTTTTTCACTACTCTTCAGGGAATTCAGACCCCATTGCATCGCACGCGTGTTAAGTTGGATTATTTTGTGAAAGATAGAGGGTGATTGCCTTGGTTTCAACTGAAGATTAAACCAAGGAGAAGAGTGAAAGAGACGTGGGAGGAGAAAAAAACTGATCATCTCGATGATTCATCTAAATTACTTGTATGAACAATGTACATGTGTTATATCTTTTGGATTTCAATGCATGTATAGTGTACACACTACACACAGTGTATGCACGAGTGTATATATACTTTTTTAAATAATTATGTCGCATGACAAAAATAATTTACGTTATCTTTTTAAAAATACAATTGTGTAATATAAAAGGACAAGTAGGGAGTCAGATAAATAAACAGGAAACGCTTTATCATATATATTCAAATAAAAGAGGCTAAGAAACAATAATAAAATTATAAAATTTACTCTAGCAAATGACAAAATTTATGCATGCATTATACGTTTCGGCTGTATAATTCAGCCCTCTTCAGATGTACAATTTTTGTATCTTTGTATTTTTAAAATACATTTTTTGCTCTTACAATAACTTTTATTCACTTTAACAATCGCGTTGGAGAGAATGAGTAGGAACTGTGATAGGAGCAGTTGGAGCATATGAATAGACCCTTTTATTGTCGCAATCTTTTTTTTACATGTCATATATATTATATATATACACACACGCACACGTACATTCACATTATTCTTTTCTCTACACAATTTCATATACATATATATTTTGTATTCCAGTTTACAATCAGTTACATGTTTTAATTATATTTTTTTTTTCCAGTATCTTTATATCAGATATCTGAATAACTTGCTTGTTTTTAATGATACGAAAAAATGTTTCAGATGACAGTGGAACGGTTTCGAGGACGTGTTTTGGTCATATTTTCTGTCTAGGTAGAGATACCAAAAAAATATAAAGACACCTTCATTTTTTTTAAATGGAACTACATAACTTTTTTTACATAGTATGTATGATTTCTTCAACAATTTTGTATATAAAAGTATAAGGTATAGATATAAAAGAACCAATAGTTTACGACATATTTTACATTTTATTCTGACATTTTGATATAAAACATAAAATATCTCATAAATAAACTATTGATTTTTTAATATCTCTACCTTAATATTTTTAACGTAAAAATAATTAAAAGACTAAATTTAAATATATAAAGAAAAATTGCCAATACGAGCCAAACTAAGGTTTTGAATAATATTGGCAATTTTTTTTTATATATTTGGATTCTTTTGGAGCCTATTTTTCGTTAATTCTATTATAATTAAAAGAATTATATTGTTATATAAAATTCTATTTAAAAAAGTGGAGATGACTTTCATACCTTTTTGACGCCTCCACTTGAAAAAAAACGTAACCAAAACACGTCTCCCTCAAAACCGTTTCACTTTCATTTAAAACTTTTTTTTTGTGTCATCAAAAATAAGCAAGTTTATTTAAGTACCCTATTTTAGATATTTCACTCTGTATATGTATACAGGATGTTTAGCGTAATGATCCGCACAATTTTTTAAACACATCGATGGTTAAAAAAAAGATTTTTTGATGAATATTCATCTGTTTTATATGGATCGCTACATGCGATAAAAAAACCCAGCATCCGAGAATGAATTAAAATGGATTGGACATTTTGTCTATTCGAATATTTTAAACAGTGAAAACTTTTTTTTGGATTCAATATTAGATGCAAATGGATTAAAAAACTGCGTTTCCTATTCACAATTTTGAATTGTACAAAATTCACTGTGGTCACAAACGCAAAAAGCTGATATTATATTTTTAGATTGAAAGGTATACAGATATGCTCCATGCAATTCCTATAAATGAATAAAAACGTATTCGGATTGAAAAGAATTCATTTTAACATTCATGAATCCGTATTTCTGAAAATCTGAATCCGTTTTAATCCATTTCAATCCATTCTCAGATACTGGGGGAAATTAAAAAAAATTTTTTTTTTTAAAAAGATCAGAATCATTTTTAATTTCTTAAATAGCACCATATAATTTTTTCCATAATTATTGTAAAAATTTTCAAGACAAATTCAACACACTATCGAGAATGTCATTTTTATTAATGTTTTATTAATTTTATTGATACGCATATAAACACAATATTGATACACATGAACCTTGTATACTTATAATACAAATATTGATACACATGAATCTTGTATACTTATAATTAGAGCCCGGATTAAAGTTCTAAAATCGCGTTGATCGTAGCTAGCTCTCTCCACTTTCACGTCGCTAAAGGTTCCGACATTCGGTGTAGTATCAATGGTGGGGAGCGACGGTGGTGTGGCAACGATATTAATCGAAATAAGGAACAGAATACAAGCGAGAAAAATACTAAAATATAGCAGATACATTAAAGTATTATTTCCAAATTTTCCCCATTATTTCGAATACTTTCAAAATAACTTTATTCGACATTTTGTAATAACTTTCTTTATCTATAAAAGTAACACACAATAAAGTACATTTTTTAATTGTTGTAACTGAAGCCTCTTCGTTTTTCGCTCAATACATTTTTATAATGAGAAAAGCTGTGTTCTACGTCGCAAGAAGTAATAGGCGCGTACTTGAAAAATTTTAAGTCCTGTTTGAAAGAATTTTCTTTTTGCAAGACCTTGGAGAAGATGCTTTTATTGTCTTGTTGTTAATTGTCCCACCCTGCACCGCCGCGTTCCTCTCTATCGATGCTTCACGCAACGGTTTCGGGCATGATGAGTGGTAGTGGGAATAGGAACGTGCTACGATCGACTCGAATTGGTACGTCCGTCGGCGGAAAAACCGGACTCTACTTATAATACAATATTGATACATATGAACACCCACGGTAATTAATTCTGTCCCTCGGAAATTTTCACAAATAAAAAATGACCACCTTTCTACAGTTCTGAAGAACCACACTCGGCCATGGCGGACGCGTTTCGGTCGGGTGCTTTCTACCGTATATTTTTGAAAGTGTTGCAGACTTTGTGCATTGTTTTGTCCTATTTGTTCGTTTTCATATTTTTTTTACGATTTTCACTAAAGACGTGATCTGGCAGTATCGCCTTTCCATTTTTGGGAGGCGCCATAAGTTAGAATTAAGGTTGGATTATACTGGCCGTAATCTGTTAACTTATGCTGTAATCTGTAAAAATTGACCAATTATAATCGATTATTCCCCTCTCATTCGACTGTGATTGGTCAATTTTTACAGATTACGGCATAAGTTAACAGTTTACGGCCAGTATAAATCAACCTTTATTCGATGCGTATCCGCGGTTGAGCTCGTCTCGATTGCTCGTCATCTTGCACCCTTCGACGACCGGGCTCTCATGACGCGCGTTATTGCGACTTGACGACGTCGTAGATGCAGGCGCCCAGATACCGGTCGAGCAACGCCATTCTCGCGGGCATTGCATCATCCGTTCGCCCCATATATGTAATACATGGTTCGCCCGACATTTTAATACGATTTTCATTTGAGACGTGATCTGGCCGTATCGACCTACCTATTATTTGGAGGCGGGTGCCATTAACTAAATAAGAAGAAGAAGAAGACCACCTTTCTATATTAATTGTCACAATCCATGCACGATTAACGTCACGACTGAGGGTGCTGTCCCATGATACGGAAATTACACCGGAACGGAACAGTGAGACCAATCACAATCGCAGAAAGGAAAGTAGAGTAATGATTGCAGAGATCTGATTGGTCTCACTGTTCCGTTCCGGTGTAATTTCCGTATCATAAGACAGCACCCTAAGAGAGAAGGAGACCGAACTTAATAGAACGCAAACTGAAAAAGTGGTCCTGATTCGTGACCCCTAATTGGGAGGGAATCCGCTGAAAGGAATGGATTCTTATGGTTGAGCGCCATTTGCAATTAACCTTACCCGAACAGTCCGGCTTGGCTTGCATTCACGAAGTAAGAGCATGCTTGTATTATACGGAGAGGTTAAGACTAAAAGTTCCACAAAATTAAAAAAGGTAAAGATTTATAAGAATTAATAGTGAATTCGATCACTTGCACTACGCTAGATTAATACGTACTAAAAGCTACTGTGCACGAAATTAGCAGAATTAAAGCATATAAATATTATAAATTAAACGATTAAATATTCAATAATATAATATAATAATGCAATATTCATTTTAATATTAAATATTCAATACTTCACCTTTTTTAATTTTTTGGAACTCTAACCTCTCCCACGATCTCAAAGGTACTTTTTCATGCGCAGCACGCTGCAGCAGCAATTCGTTACTATTGGTTAAGAATTTTATGTAAGCTAGATGACGCACTTCCGGCGCAAAATACATTTTGCCGCAGTTCGTTGAAGTTGAACCGAACGAACAGCAAGCAACTTTACTTTTTCAAATTTGTGGTAAAGTATAAAATGATCTAATTTACAAACATGTATCCGTACCTTATCCGAAGCCATTTTTCGTTTATTTTCCTAATATTTATTGCAATAAATAATATTTTCATAATGAAACGACGGACATATTGTACGCTTTCTCGATTTTGCCGCTTGCTGCTTGCTGTTCATTCGGTTCAACTTCAACGAACTGCGGCAAAATGTATTTTGCGCCGGAAGTGCGTCATCTAGCTTACATAAAATTCTTAACCAATAGTAACGAATTGCTACTGCAGCGTGCTGCGCATGAAAAAGCACCTTTGAGACAGGCACCAAAATCCGATTAACCTAGGGAGTTTTTTTTGAAATGCACCAACTGAGTACCACTGTTCGATCGGATTGGAAATCCGACCATTTGTCGTAAACACCCTTGGTGACAGTGGCCCTTAAGCCGGTTGCGCTTCTCTGATATCTAGGACTCTAGGTAAATCTAGCAATTCGTGCATGTGATTGGGTAATCGTACTACTTACCTAACAGGTAAACTCTTTATCAAAAGATGGAACAATCGGCCCATAGTAGTACAAAACAAGCGCGAACGCGAAATCGAATTATCTGTCAACCATGATGAAATTATAAACAGTAAGTATTGTTACGCAGAGTACGGACATGAACGTTTTTATTGATAAAGTAATCTAACCTGTAAATGTTACTTTAAAAGTAAAATCTTAAGATTTTCATTTAAAAATTAATTTTTAGTTAAAATGTTAACTTTGTATTGTTTGTAAATATTGTGCAACTTACTCCTGGGATATTATTTTTCATATTCGACAAGTACCATCGACTGTCATCATGGGATGGTGTGCTGCTTGTGGTGCGAGGTCAACAAAAAAGAATAAGACATTAGTGTTCCCGAAAGATCCAGACAGAAGATTCCAAATGATTGCAGCAGTTCGAGCACTGACATTGAATAATCCAAATTGGAATCCGACAAAAACTTCAGTGATATGTGAGGTATGTTTTATTAAATTCTAAAGTACTGTAATTTCATAGTAACATCTAAAAAGAAAAATAAGTACAACAGCATCACTATAACGCGACAAGTTAAAAATGTTCATTGTATTTATTTTGAATGAATGTATAATTTGACGAAGGTTTAATAAATAAATTGACAAAAGTTTGACTAGCAAGTTTGAAAGCAAAGGATATAATTAAAAATACAAATGTTGCAACTACTCTATGGTAGAAATATAAACAGCAGAAATATGAAACATTAAGATTCACATAAAATTACAGACTTGATTTTTAAAATGTGACTTATAATTAAAGGTAACATGTAATACACAAACAAATGTCATCAGTTCAGTCCTAAATTTATCAAATCTTACTTCATTTGGAGTTCTGAATTTTGAATAGAAATACTGTATTCAGTAAAAACTTACAGATTAATTATAGAATTTTGTAATGATTATTTATTACTCTCAGAAACACTTCAGTTCAGATATGTGGAAGATATGTATCGATGGAACCAAAAAATTAAAAAGAAATGCGATACCGACCCTCTGTGGATCCATTCAAAGGACTGGACAGCAGAATACTATTCTTCGAAACCAGAGTATGCATATTGGTACATATAACACAATTGAAAGTAAAATAAATTGCATAAAAAGTATAGATGTATGGTTATTGTAGTTTTGAAATACTTTTTAGCAATGTTGTGCATAACTTGACAACTAATATTTACACACATATACAAGTAATTTGTATAAAAATTTGTTAAATGTATTTATGCATTGTGAAAAATTGTTTATTAAATATGTATATAATTTGTTTATATTTTATTGCAGGTCATGTCAAAGCTTCCATTCGAACGACCGAACAGCAGAACGTTGTTCCTAGAGAAGATATATATGTCTGTACGTATAATGAAGGTGAATGTACATAATTTTTTAAATTGCAAATGAAAAATATATTTTTATGAAAATATTTTTAAGAAGCAGTATTTCCAGATGTACTTTTTTTGTACAAGTTATTCATTTCTTATAAGCAACTAACACTTAACAGTATTAAAGTATTAAAATTACTTAGATTGCACTGAAAATCACGTTTTGCACTACTTATTATGTTAATAATAATATCAAATTTATATATAAAATATGTATTTTAAACGAAGTATTAAGTATTCCGATGCAAATGTGCGATTTTGAATGGAAACTTGGTCATCGGACTTCATTGTATTATTCGTTCGTAGATGACTACGTTACATTAACCAGTTCCGATGTAATGCCGTCATCTTCACGACGAGGTAATATCGACGAGAATCAAGAGCAGAACTCTCTAAATTATTCGGCCACTTCGACGATGATTATAGACAATTTTCACGACATGACTGATGAACAAGATTCTACTGCACAAATTATGACAAATTCTACAAATACCGCACATGAAAAAAAGATAACGGAATTGGAAGAGCAACTGCGAAATATGACAAACAAATATAATGTTGCAATAGAAGAAAATAAGAAGTTGACAATTAGATGTGAAAGGGCAGAGCTTTTATACATGATGAGCGAGAGAGCAAAGAAACGGATGAAGGCAGAACACGCAGCAATGAAGGAGAGATGGTTAAAAATTGTGCGAAGATAAAGGTATTATTAAATTAGTTTCATAAATAACGACGTGCTAAAACAAATACTATATCAAGATCAAATTCAATTATTAAGAAATAATATATAATAATATATAAATATAATATATAATAATAAAAATATATATAATATATAATAATATATAATATTATATAATATTGTATTCAATTATTAATTTTTTTTATTTAAATTGAAATTTGATCAATGAGGATAAAAGAATTTTAATTCCTATTATTTTGATTAGCCAAAATATTCAATCTCAATCTTCAATGTGTAGTCTGATTCCGGGCCTTAGAGGATCTCTATAATATAGTCAAAGTTTCTGATATAAGTATTATCTTCTTCAATCTGCCTTCTCTGCAAGCTCTATAATATTATGAGAAAAATTTATATGGTGCTATTTGAAAAATTTAAGATAACCTTCATTTTTAGTAAAAAATTTTTTTAATTTTTTTATCGTATGAAGTAGCCCACATGAAACAGATAAATATTCATCTTTCAACCTTTCTTTTTAACTGTTGGAAGTGTTTAAAAAATCATGCGAACTGTTACCCCGAATCTACAATAGAGTTTTAAGCCTTAAGCTATAAGAAATGAACGAATCATAATCGATTATTCTCCACGAATTCAACTATAATTAGTTAATTCTTATGGTTTAAGGCTTAAAACACTTATTGTAGATCCGGGATTATGCTGAATTCTATATACATACTACATACAGTGCGAGATCATAGATACTTTGACATATAAAATTGTACACATATTACAGCATGTGTTTCGTGTTTAAATTACTCATACATTGTGATTGTTAATATTATTCGATAATAATTACTTTTTTTTCAATGTGTAATTGCATTTATGTACAATAAATTTATTCCAAAGATCTTTTTCTTAATTAGAATAACATAATCTTTTACATCTAATTGGTTGTTCCTATTACTTTACATATTACGGCGTGGTCATTTCTGAAATTAACCATTTTATGAAATACACTTATTTTATTTATCACGACGTATATTCAGTACGCGTTTACAACAATGTTAGTGCGTTAACATGATATACATAGTTTACATCACGCATTATAAAATTTCAGAAATAAAAGCGTGTTTTTATCGATAAAAACACGTTCTGAATATAGGCCCGTACCTTTTTTCTGACAAAGTATAATATTATAAATATTTCCGTAAAATATTCACTTCTTAATGAACTCATCTTAACTTTGGTGTGTGTTTGTGTGTAGTACAGAATTATTGAATGAATTATATTTGCGTAAGTCATATAATTTTGTAAATTCATAATTTTGAAAAATAAGGTCAACTCTCATGTATACAGTATGATCCCGTTGTAAATAAAGTTATGATGATTGTGAAATATCTATATATACCTCAAAGCAAAATATTTCTACAATTAAAAAAATTTTTCTTTCATATATATCTTTCACATAATGATTATTATTTTTAGAAATATAATCACGTGGAAAGATAAAAAGGATTTGATGTTCTTGCATCTCTATATATAAATTAAAAATATTTAAATATTTATATACTTATATGATCTAAGTCGACATATTGCTCTTGATTGCTAACGATATTGTGGACAATGCTGTTTTATTATTGACTTTGAAATGTCAGCATGACCTAAAATTAAAAAATATAAAATGTATTTCGTAATTATGCATAATACTCGACAATACATGTATCTACATATAATGCATATAGATACAATAAAATAATGCATAACTAAAAAAATATCTTGAGAATAGGTCTGGTGACCAGAAACAAAGATTTGAGCTAAGTATATAAATGAACTAGAGATATAAATAAGTTAAAAAAAATAACTTATTCTTTGATTGTTTGAGATCTTAGATAAAGTTTATATCAGGGCAATCCTGAGAAAATTGGACAAGAATTTACGTTATATTTTTTGATGCTTTAAGCTTTTGTTACATGATATATACATCATTTTTAATGTATAAGCTTATGCCCTTCTAAAAAATGTTTTTATTAAGTTATATTTCACATAGAAATTTTTACAAAATTAAGCACCCGCTCCACCTTTGAAGTTAAACATCTCCGGTTTAAATCATCGTAAAAATACGATTTAAAAACGATTTTAAAGGGGAAATTAAGTGCTTTTATAACGTTATCTCAGTTTGTTAAAAAAACATTAATAATTATTATATTTTTTAACAATTTAAATGTTAATTTTTCCACAAAAAAACTACCACATTAAAATTTGAAAAAAATATCAAATTAGAGCGAATTCTTAGTTTCGTAGAAATTTCCATATAAAAAAATTTTAATAAAAAAATTTTGGAGGGACATATATTTGAAATGAAGTATATGTATATATCACGCGTAACAAAAATTTTAATCAATTTAAAAAATACATGAGGTAAAAAAAGTGTCTATTTTTTGTCCGATTTTCTCAAGAATCGCCCATTAATAATACTGAAAAAGAATATTACCTAATTGTAGCTCTATATACAAGGCTAACATTATCACTTGTATAGGTATATCACAATCTGGTTCTTTTGATATCCATATCTGAAACAAAAAATAACCAATATATAAAAATACTATTTAAAAAAAAATATATATATATAAATCAATAAACAATTAATATAAGTATTTAAACTTTAAACTCTAAAATACAGTAAAATTCTAAAATACTCGCTTGTTTCAAAGTTTCGCCAGATTTATCTAGTTCACCTCGTATAGCATAAGCCACAGCCAAGTTGTAACGTATTATAGCAGTGCCCGTTGAAACTGTTGTAGGATACCATGCTACAGTTCAAAATAATAATTTATTTCCTAAATATTGTAACATTATTAATATTAAATATTGAAAACTTCAAAAAAGTATAAAAATAAGGCAGATTTTCGTAAAAACAAGTAGAAATACTTGCAAAATTTCGATTAAAATTAAAATTAACTACACTAATTTTAAGTATATATTTTTTTAACAATCCATAATAAGTATTTTATCTTACGTCTCAATAAAAAAACATCAGAATTCACGTAACAAACATGTCATGTTAAATGGTAACAAGTAATCAATTAAAAAAATAATTACATTATGACAAAGTAATGATCTGAAAAAAGAAAACTCAATTCATACATTTTTACTATAAAATTTTTTTTTAACTCTTCGCAACGTTTATCTCCGGTAGTGTTTAATACAAAACAAAATGTATCTCAAGATTATAAAAGTTAGAAAAAGAGAAAAAAATATATATATATTCTTTTTACAATGCGTAATCAATTTTTTTCGAAAACAATGTATTATATATAAAAATAAAAATTTAACCAGTCACACACAATAGAAGGAGCATACAGCCACACGTAGGGCTATGTTCAGATTCCCACCCGAGTGCCACTCAGGTATCCTTCTATCCTTATTGTTTGCCAAATGTTAAACAAGGATGACATGACACCCAGGGAGCACTCGGGTGGGAATCTGAACACGCCGTAGGATGTTTTAAGCGAAAGTCATATATTTCTAACATTAACAATATAAAACATAACCTCTAACATTTATTAATAAGTATTAGATAATAAATTATCCAGAGTTGCCACAAATTTTTCATCCTAAAATTCCCTGACATTTCCCTGATTTCCAGACATAATTTTGTGATCTTCCCTGACTTTCAATAATACATTTTTTGAAATATTTATTGTATTTTTATCCTGATTTGAAAATTGTTAAATATTTTGTTAATCGAGCAATTTAACGTAACAGTGTAATTAAATTACTTAATGTTGCCGACACTGCATTTTATTGTTAAATTAGTAGTATTTTTTATCTTTTCCTTTTATGTATCAATATTATTCTTTTTTTCTTCCTCTCTTTCTTTTTACTCTGCTGTACTTAAAATATAAGGAACATAAATCAATGAATACAGTTTCTTTTTTTATCAAAACTGTGTTCTGTTTATTAAAATCTCAATCTGCTTATAAAAGTTAACGTATTTGAAAAAAAATCACAAAAATATAAAATAACATTTATTTTACTCACCTGTTCATAGGTGACATAGAATTTTCTTATATAAAACTGAAATTTTGGTAAACAAAGATTTTTTTTTAGCAATTTTTGCATTTTTTTGTTCTTTCTTAGAGCGCTGGTTTTCCAATGCTTTACCATACATATCCTTCGAATTTCGGTAAGATAAAATCAACTTGAGATGGGTGACCAATTAGAAGCATCATAAAAACATTAATTCTCGAATTTAGAAGAAAACTTTTTTTTCTCATTATTCTATTCTAAAATTGATGCTAATTAGTAATACTTTAACAATCTAACAGTAATTAGGGAAAAATTGATCGGTATGATCCTACTTAAGTTTCTACACGAGTATATATAGTGTCACTATTACAATAGATAAAAATCATCTTTTTAGTGAGACCACCAGCAGCCTTAAGGCCATCGTAAACTTGTCTCTGAGATATTAGAGACCTAGATAATTGATTTTCAACAATACATTCCTTGTTTATTGAAAATCCTCTTTCCACAAATGCTTGATCATGACTCAGAATATAAGGACCTTTTTCACAAAAACATACAAATTCTGGAAATTATCCTGACCCTGAAGCAAGTTTCTCCAGAAATGATTAATTCTTTGATTTTCCCTAACTGCTTGCATAAATTAATTACTTCTTTCTTATAACAAAGATCGTTAAATTCTTTCTCAATTTTATCACAGTCGATTTTATCGACAGTGGCGTTGTGATATGAATGAAACAGATACCGAGCTAAACAGATGTTTTAAATTTCTTTACAACTATTTTATTTTTTTCAGAAAAGTTTGCAAAATCCCTGACTTTCCCTGACGCAATTTTGAATTCCCTGACTGTGGCAACCCTATTATCATATATACTTATATTAAGAGCACGGTGTTAGAAGTATAAGTGATCCGATTAGCCTCCTCGACCTGTGATTATTTTAAGTTAATTCGGAAGACTGTCATCAGAGAGTATCTGAGAGTAAAGTATGTATTGACTGTCTCACTTGCTCTCATTATACAGCTAT